CCTCTGGGGGGCCTCTTGGAGGCCTCTTGGGAGCCTCCTGGGGGCCTCTTGGGGCCATCTTGGGGCCTCTTGTGACCTCCTCAGAAGCGCAAATGAGAGCTGCCCCCCTGAGAAGGACAAATTGAGCCCAACACCTTCGTAAAATCAATGAGTTTGCTATGAAGGACGAGGGGCGCGACCCCCTGAGAAGGCCAAAATGGGGCCAACACCATCGTAAAATCAATGTTTTTGGCGTCGACGAAGAGGGGGGTACTACAAGAGCGCCCCCCCGTCGGGAGCAGAATCCTCGTGAGGGTCGTCGTTTTTTTAGCCCTCCCAGGAGTCGAAAAAGACTCCCCTGACCACCCGCGGGACTCCCTCTCCAGGCCCAGGGGGAGGGGGTAGGGGGAGGGGTAAACCCCTCCCCGAAGGGGAAGAAGGGGGGGTGAGAACAGAGAGAGCTCGCTAAACCACTCACGCCCAAAGGGCTGGTGGGATGCTGATGATGTGCGAAGGAGGAGGTTTGAGGAGGTTGATGAGGATGAGGAGGAGGGCTCCGAGAGGATGAGAAACGAGGAGGAAGAGGAGGAGACGGTGTCGGAGGGAGAAGTAGGAGGAGGATGACATGAGGAGGGGGGGTAGGAGAAGGTTGAGTGGGGAGGTCTTCGTGCGGAGGTGGGGGGGGAGGGATGGATGCTACTGCTGCTGCTGTTCCATGAGTTGATGATGATGATGATGATGATGATGATGATGATGATGTATGATGATGATGATGATGATGATGATGATGTATGATGATGATGATGATGATGATGATGATGATGATGATGATGATGATGATGATGATGATGATGATGATGACGATGATGATGATGATGATGATGATGATGATGATGATGATGATGATGATGGTGATCACAATGTTTACGATTCCGATGACGATGACGATGATGGCCACGCCGGCGATGACGATGATGATGACGAGCATGATGACGACGATGGTGTTGATGCTGATGATGACGATGATGATGATGCTAATGATGATGATGCTGATGATTACGATGACGATGACAATGATACGGACGACGGTGATCATGATGATGCTGCTGATGACGATTGTGAGGATGCCGATGCTGCTGCTGATGATGATGACGATGACGATGCGGCTGATAATGCTGATGATGATTCTGCTGCTGCTGATGATGCTGCTGTTGCTGATGGTGATGCAGATGCCGATGCTGATGCTGATGTTGATGATGCTGATGATGGAGATGATGACGATGATGATACTGACGATGGTGATGCCCCTGATGATGACGATGATGAACATCACGACGATGATGATGCTGATGATGATGATGATGATGATGATGATGATGATGATGATTATGATGGCGATGACGATCATGGCCATGACGACGATGGTGACGACGATGAGTATGTCGACGACGATGATGATTATAACGATGCTGATGCTGATGATGATATGCTGCTGCTGATGATGATGGCGACGATGCTGATGACGACGATGACGATAACGATGACAGTGATAATGCTGATGATGATGATGATGCTGCTGATGATGATGATGACCAAGATGATGATGCTGATGAGACGGATGCTGCTGCTGCTGATGGTATGGATATGTTTTGGATGGTGGTGGATATGATGATTTGATGCTGGTGATGATGGTGCTGATGATGATGCTGCTGCTGATGATGATGATGGTGATGGTGATGCTGATGATGCTGATGACGGTGATGATCATGGTGATGATGATGAAGACTCGTATGATTTCTATCTGATGATGATGCTTATGATGATGCTGATGATGATGATTCTGATGACGCTGATGGTAATGACGATGATGATGATGACGATGATGCTGAGGATGATGCTGATGCTGATCATGAGCATGATGATGGTGACGATGATGCTGCTGATGATGCTGGTGATGCTGCTGATGATGATTATGATGTTGATGCTGCTGCTGACGAGGATGATGATGATGATGATGCTGATGTTGATGCTGATGATGATAGTGATGATGCCACTAAGAATGCAATCATAATGATGATTCTGACTCTGTTTATGATGACGACGACGCCGCTGGCAACGACGACGATGCTGCTGATGATGCTGCTGATGCCGCTGCTGACGAGGATGATGCTGACAATGATGGTGCGACGGAGGATGATGATGAGGAGGACGAGGGGGAGGAGGAGGAGGAGGAGGAGGAGGAGGAGGAGGAGGAGGAGGTTGGAGGAGGAGGTGGAGGAGGTGGAGGTGGAGGAGGAGGAGGCTAGGAGGTTGGATGTGGTGGTGGAGGAGGTGGAGGAGGTGGAGGAGGAGGATGGATATGGTGGTGCAGGAGGGTGATGGGAGGAAGGAGAGGAAGAGGTGCGAGGGGTGGAGGAGGCGGAGGAGGGGAGGAGAGGAGGAGGGGCGATAGGGAGGAGGAGGAGGAGGAGGAGGAGGAGGAGGAGGAGGAGGAGGAGTAGGAGGAGGAAGAGGAGGATGAGGGAGAGGGGACGAGCAAGGGGACTGTCACCTCCTCTTGCAGTGAAAACACGCAGGGCCCTCGGCTGTTTTGGCCACCTTCGGCCTCTGGGGCCCTCGCCAGGCCCCGGGCCGTCAAGGAACGGCTCGCGGGACGAGCAGCTGGTCCCAGACCTCTCGGGGGTCAGCGTGGCGAACAGAAGCGCGACGTCGAAGGCCTGGGGACGTGGCCCCCCTCCGAACAAACACGACGCATGAGCAGCAGTAAAGGAGGTGCTTCCAGAGAGGGCCCCGTCCTCGAGATCGAGAGAGTTGCTGTCTCTTCCTCGGCTGGAGGCGGCGGAAGACCGGCGAAGGGCGGCGGAAGTGAAACGAGGCCGCCTCCGCCGGGTGAAGCCGGGGGAAGTAACCATCGGCCTCCCAAGAGGTGGCAGGGTTTTGGGGTTCAGGGTTTTTGAATCCGCCAGGTGTCGGGGAGGGTGGGGTGGGTGGGAGCTCCCAGGCTTCTGGCCAGCCCGTTCCCCTTTCTTCGTGCTCCTCGCCCGCTCCTCCTCTTGCCCCTGCTCTCCTGCTCCTGCTTCTGCTTCTCGCCCCCTCGCCCCCTCGGCATCTCGCCCTCTCGCCCTCTCGCCCTCGTGCTCCTCCTCCTCCTCCTCCTCCTTCTCCTCCTCCTCCTCCTCCTCCTCCTCCTCCACCTTCTCCCCCTCCTCCTCCTTCCTCCTCCTCTCCTCCTCCTCCTCCTCCTCTCCTCCTCCTCTCCTCTCCTCCTCCCCACTCATCCTCCTACACCTCCTCCTCCTCCTCCTCTCCTCCTACCTCATCCTCCTCCCCTCCTCCTCCTCCCCCCTCCTCCCCCTCCTCATGCTCGTCCTCCTCGTCCTCCTCCTCCTCTCCTTTACTCCTCCCCTTCTCCTCTCATCCCACCCCCGTTTCCATCCTTCTGTCCTCCGGCTGCTCCTCCTCCTCTCCTTCCTCCTTCCTCGAACCTCCTTCCTTCCTTCCTCTCCCTCCTCATTTCCTTCCTCCTGCTCTCACTGCTCCTTCTCCCTCCCCCCCTCCTCCTCCTCCTCCACCTCCTCCTCCTCCATTTCTTCTCCTTGTTGATAACTTCTCCCTGTCGCACCCCGAGGCCAGTTTTTAGGGCGGGCCGGGCGTTTCGCTTGAGATTTCCTCACCATCCATGATTCTGAAACTTTAAAAGGGACAGCAGTTTCATAGCTGGAGGGCGGATCATTTTGAACATATGGCTCTCGCCTTAGCGCCGCGCACATTGGTTTTCAAACTTTTGAAGAGTTTCACGCATTGAGGGCGGGTCGTTTTCAAAATGTGGCTCTCGCCTTAGCGCCGCGCACATTGGTTTTCAACATTTGCATGAGCTTCACGGATTGAGGGCGGGTCGTTCTCAAAATGTGGCTCTCGTATTAGCGCCGCGCAGATTTTTTTCAAACGTTGTAAAAGTATCACGGCTTGAGGGCGGGTCAATTTCAACATGTGGCTCTCGCCTTCGCGCCGCGCACACTCGTTTTCAACATTACAAGAGCTTCACTGATCGAGGACGGGTCGTTTTCAAAATGTGGCTCTCGCTTTAGCGCCGCGCACATTCGTTTTCAAATTGTGCAAGGGCTTCACTGATCTAGGGCGGTTCCTTTTCAAAATGTGGCTCTCGCCTCAGCGCCGCGCACACTCGTTTTAAAACTTTGCAAGCGTTTCCCGGAGGTTGATACGTGGCGTAGAAATCCCGAGAATAATGTTTTGGCATGCTTCAGGATCTTCAAGCGTTTGTCTTCCAACGGGGCAGTCCCATCCATGGAAAGTATCCGTTGTAGGGGCCTATGAAGAGGGAGCTTGGAGGGAGGGTTAATTCCGACATCGTTGATGACTCTTGGGTTTACACTAGCCCGCTTCCTCCTCCTCCTCCTCCTCCTCCTCCTCCTCCTCCTCCCCCCTCCTCCTCCTCCTCCCCCTCCTCCTCCTCCTTCTCCTCCTCCTCTCCTTGTCGTCTTCTCGCTCCTTCTCCTTCCCGACGGTCTTGTTTGTCGCCCCACTCCTCTTCTCCTCTGCCCGCCGCGTGGGGCCTGCTCGCCGCCAGGAGGATCCGACAGCAAAGCCAAGGGAGCCCAAAGCGAGTGACGAGGAGCCCGAGGCGAGGGCCGAGGAGCCTAAGGAGCCGAAGACGAAGGCAAAGGCGAAGGGGAAGGGCAAGGACGGCAAGGACGACAAGGACGCCAAGGAAGCCAAGGAAGCCAAGGAGGGCAATGACAGCAAGGACAAGGGCAAAGAAAAAGGCAAGGACAAAGAGAAGGACAAGGATAAAGGCAAAGACAAGGAGGCCGAGAAGGAGAAGGACAAGGGGAAGGCGAAGGGGAAGGATAAGGAGGAGCGAGGCAAGGGCAAGGAGAAAGGCAAGGAAAAGGAGAAGGAGAAGGAGGAGCGAGGCAAGGGCAAGGGCAAGGACAAGGAGGAACGAGGCAAGGGCAAGGACAAGGACAAGGGCCACGACAGGGGCAAGAACAAGGAGGCCTACGAGTCCAGCCGCTACGACGACTCGAACGATGGTTGGTGGTCTTGGGACAGGCAGGAGACCACCGCTCGGGCCACTAGTCCGATTCCCCCTCTCCCCCCCTCCCCCCTCTCCCTTCTCGCTTCTTTCTTCCTCCTTCCTCCTCTAGGATCGGACATCATGAGTTTTTTTTTTTTTTTTTTTTTTTTTTTTCTCTCTCTCTCTCTCTTTTTTCTCCCTCTCTCTCTCTCTCCCTCTCCTTCTCTCCCTCCCTTCCCGACTCTGCCCAGAAGTAAGACGGATTTCATTCATTGTTGTTTTTAAGGTTCTTGTGCACTTCGATTGTTCTCGGTGTTTCAAAATGGTGCTCCCACTGCAGCGTGGACCTCATTTTCGGATCGGCGCTTTGCTCCAGTCGTTGAGAATGGCGCTCTCGTTCCAGTGCGGGCAATTTTTCTGGATCCGAATCTTTTTTATCGTTGTCGCCCCCCTCATTTCCCCTCCGCCTTCCTCTGGCCCTCCTGCTTCCCCCGCTCATTCCACTCCAGCCGCTGCTGCTGCTGCTGCTGCTGCTGCTGCTGCTGCTGTTCGTCCTCCTCTTCCTCCTTCTCCTTCCTCGTCCTCCTTTTTATCCTGCTCTTCCTCCTGCTCTTCCGCCACCCTCCAGTGTACTCAGCCCCCTTTTTCCGATTGTGCGTCACACGATGTGGTCCTCGTTTGGAGCTCCAAATCCGCTATGACACGCGTCCGCGGATAGAGAGACGACAGTGCAATGGCAGGGGATGGGATGGGAGGGAGGGAGGGAGGGAGGGAGACGAGCGCACCGAGAGTGCCCCCTCCCCCTCTCTTCTCCATCTCTCCTCCCTCACCCCGCTCTCCTCTCGCTCCTCCTACCCCTCCCCCCTCGCCCCTCCCTCCTAAACAACGGTCCGTAGCCTCTGGCTCAAGCCGTCTCCCGGGGGGGGCCTCCTCCCCCTGGGGTCAGGGCTCGAGGTCGGCCTGCGCGGCCAAGGAGGGGCGCCCGCCGCTGCGTCTCGGCCCACTGCCCGCGGCCGCAGCGCCGCCATCCACCCTTCCAGTGCTGGTGGCACCCGCTGCCCCCCCGCGGGCTCCTCAGCAGATGGAGGCTCGGCCCCTGGGAGACCCCAGCCCGGGTGAATTTTTAGAGCTAGTGCAGGGCTTGGGCGCCCTGAGAAGGCCAGGGGATCACGATGGCCAGGGGCCCCTGGGGACCGAGAACCCAACCGGACCGGCCGACTCGGGATTCAGTCTGATCGGGCCGCAATCTGCGTCACCGTTCGAACAGGCCCCCGACGCCGATCCGCCTTCGGGCTCCGCTAGTCGGATCGACCGATCAGGCTCGACCCACAGTACTGCGGCTGTTAGCTGCACTGGAGTGGAGCGAAGATCGGATCATCCCACGGCGGCGATGATCGAGCTCTCGGATTCGCCGCGCCCTCGGAACCGGAACGAGGCATTAAGCGATCAGATAAGGGCCCCGCATTGAAGTGCATCGTCATTGATCACCTGGAGGCTGCTGAGGAGGCTGAACGGAGCCGCCTGAACGTTGGGCCCATCGAGGTCAGGGTGGTCGACTTCCACGCGACCTGGGCCCAATCCTGGACGACTTGTGGAGGGACTACGCCGCAGAGCAGTGCAGAGACGTTAAAGGCTCCGAGGCTCCTGACAGCTGGGCCCCGCCCCTGCTGCGCCCCTTCCTGAAGAGGGTCTACGGCGACAGGGTTGCGCCAAACCACCTCCCCAACGACTTCCACTGGCAAGGCAGGCGGCTCGCCGACGCCCGTGTGGTCACGCGCCTCTGCGTTCTCTCAACCGACCCCACCATGCGGCCCAAATGGCTTCTGCACGCCAATCAATGGCCCGTGCGCAGCCCCTCCCCTCTACGCCACGCCCATGAAACCCTCGTGGGTTTCTTGACACAGGTCGGCTCCGATAAGCTCGCCACCGGGTCATTCCGGGAATTGGCCAAGGACGTCTCTTTCGTGTGCACGCAGGAACTGTGCAGGCAGATCGGCAACGCCCTTATTAGGGAGCACAGCGACAACGATTGGTGGGCGCGGTTCAACGAGAAGCGCACACAGACGGCAGACCCCATGGCAGAATCCCACACCTTTGCTGCCCGCGCACCCGAGCTCCCCGACTGGGGCAACGAAGTACCCTTCCCCTCGACGCCAGTACGGAGCGGCATCAGCCCTCCCTACACCCGTGGAGCCGGCTCTCGCTGCCCTGAGGATAGCCACCCACGACGTGCGAGCCCAACCGCCGACATGCCTGGCACTGATGCAGCAGTCCCGAGCACCTCCCCCCCGCAAGAGACCAACGTGGCTAGGCCCCCCCTGCCAGTGGGGGCGACGACGCCGCCGCCCGCGGGGGCGCTGCCTCCGACACCTCGTTGGCTGGCTCCGACGACGACAAATCCGCCCCTCGCCGGGGCCGCCAAGGGTCGCCCGTCGCCCTGTCCCCGACACCGAGCTCGGAACCGCCAGTGCTACAGGTCGACTCCTCCGGCAGCCCCGAGGCGACTGACAAAGCCCTGCAGCCCCGCTTCGCCCGCCGACGGTCCATGCGCCTCCCCAGTGCTGGCTGGGCAAGACGACAGAAACCTCGCGCGCCTTCCCGAGCGGAGGGCCCCGCCATCCCCTAGCATCCCCCGGCAACCCCGGGCAGCCAACGCGACGCGGGATGAGTTTGACTGGGGCGAGGGTTGGGGTGAGCGCCGCCCACGCCGGCGCCAGGAGGCCAGCCACAGCGGCCCCTACAGCGGCCCCTGGGCAGGATGGACAGGGTGGTTTAGCTGGGAGGCCGGCGACCGCTGGGGTCGGCCTGCGCGCGCACGCACACGCGCACCCCATCGTCGGCGACCTCCCTACTCCCCGGTTGGGCCCCTGGCCACCCTACAAAAGTGCGCAAGCCGACCTCGCGCAAGACCTAATCGACCCAGTCGCCGGCCTCTGCATCTACGCACCCCCCTGGAGCGAATCGACATTATGAGCCCCATTGGCGAGGCCCCGGCCGAGACCGTGAAGCGTCTCCAGAGGGGCCTCTGTGCGTACTTCAACGGAGTATGGCGCCAGTGGACGACCAAGAATCCTGCGCTGTCTGGCCACATCTGCGCTGGCCCCACGAGGCAGGACCCCGAATCATGTGTGCGCTTCCTCAAAGAAAGGACCAGTCACGGTTGTGCATTCGGTTCAATGATAGGGCCAGGGCCAAGGGCACCCTCGGCAAGGCCAAAGACAAGGGGCCCCGAGAGAGGACAGCGACTCAAGCTGGACGAGGACGGTGGAACCACGACGGGCCGTGGGCTCGCGCCAACCCTGGGTATGCCCTCAAATCCTTGCCCAGGCCGCACAGGCGAACGCGCGCCGCGCTTTTCGCCTGGCCATGAACGCCCCGCGCTGTGCATGAATGTGCCTCGCGGAGCCCAATCCCTACCCGGCCAGGCAGGGGTGGTCGGCTCCTCCCGCGCACCCCTGCTTGTGCGCTAATGCCGCCTCGGGCGCGCCCAGCTGGGGCTGTCGGCTCGTCCCAGGTCTTGGAGTTCCCTCTGCGATGTCATTTTGCGACCCTTCTCCCCCTGGATGACTGCCGCCCCCCCTGACACGCCGTGGGCGAACCAGAGGGCTGGCCCCTCTCTGGGCGGGCCTCCGACACTGCTAGAACCCTTGCGGCGCCTCTTGCAGCCCCGCGCTGCCCTGCGCATAGGTGCTTGGCTCTCATCGGCCACCTGGCCACGAGGGCCCGTGTCCTGCAGACCCCCGCCCGACGGCTCCCTGTGCTGCCTGCCCGCCGCGGACCCCTCCCCTGGCGCATCGCCCAGACCGCGGTTGTTGGCTGCCCCACCCCCCCCCCTCGCCCCTCCCCCCCGCCCCCCGCACCCCCCGTCCCCGCGCGCGCTGCGGCTGGTCAGCGGCTGCCCCCCCCCCCGCCCTCCGTCCGCCCCCTTCGCCCCCGCCCCCCCGCGCTTTTGCTCGCAGCGACTGCGGCTGCTAGCCGCTCGCCCCTCGCGCCCGCCCCCCGCCCCCCCCGGCCCGCCTCCAGGCCGCCCTCCCTGGCTCTCCACTGAACCTATCTGCGGCCTGTTAAGCTGCTCCTCACCCGCCCCGCGGGCCGCCCCCGTGCCCCCGCCCCCCGTGCCGCCCTGCCCGCCCCTCCTCCGGTGGATGTCCCCCCGCAGGAGGTTCTCGGGCCCGCCTTCTCTCTGCTAGCTCTGCGGCGGCTGTTAGCTGCGACCGCCGCCCATGCTGCGTCCGCGCCCCCGGCGCCCCCCCCCAGGGCGCTGGGGCCAGCAGGCCATGGACTTCCCGGAAAATCTGGCCCGCCCTCTTCCTGCGGCTGCCCCCCCGCAGGAGGTGCACGGGCGCGCTGGCTGACTTCGCTTCCTCTGCGGCTGTTAGCTGCGACCCCACTTGCAGTGCGCTCCCTCCAGGGGCGCTTGCGCCAGCGGGCCATGAACTTCCTGGACCGTCTGGCCCGTCCTCCTCCTGCGGCTGCCCCCCCGCAGGTGGTGCGCGGGCGCGCCCGTTGACATCGCTTTCTATGCGGCTGATAGCTGCGACCGCCACCGGCGCTACGTCCGTGCTCTCGGGCCCCCGCCCCCCGGGGCGCTGGGGCCGGCAGGCCGTGGACTTCCTGGACCGTCTGGCCCGTCCTCCCTCCGCGGCTGCCCCCCCGCAGGAGGCGCGCGGGCGCGCCCGCTGACCTCGCTGTCTCTGCGGCTGTTTGCCGCGACCGCCACCCGCGGCGCGGCCTGGCCCTCGGCGCCCCCTCCAGGGGCCCGGGCGCCAGGCGATATATCGTTGGTCTCTCCGAGCTGTCTGGCTCGTCCCCCCTCCCGCGGCTGTCCCTCCGCGGGCGGTGCGCGGGCTTGCCTGCCGTGCTGCGACTGCCGCCCGCGGCGCGCCCTTGGCCCTCGGCGACCCCCCCGGGGCGCTGGGGCCAGCAGGCGATGAACATCTTGGACCGTTTGGCCCGTCCTCTCCTGTTTCCCCGCAGGAGGTGCGCGGGCGCGTCCGCTGACTTCGCTTTCTCTGTGGCTGTCAGCTGCGACCCCATCCGCAGCGCGGCCTTGGCCCTCGGCGCTCCCTCGAGGGGCGCTGGCGCCAGGAGATATATCGATGGCCTCTCCGAGCTGTCCGGCTCGTCCATCCTCCCGCGGCGGCCCCCCCGCAGGAGGTGCACGCGCTTGCCCGCTGTTAGCTCCTGCGGCTGTCAGCTGCGACCGCCGCCCGCAGCGCGCGCGTGGCCGACGGCGCTCCCCCCGTGATACTGGGGCCGCTGCCAGCAGACACCAGGGCCCTTTCCCCGCGGCTGTCTCCCTGCGGGAGGTGCTCTGGTCAGCGCAGTGCAACCTTGGCCTGCGCCGTCGCTCTTCGCTAGTTCCGCTCGGTGGATATGGTCCGTGGTACGTCGACTGATTGGGCGGCGCCCGTCGCCGGCTGATGGAGGTTACTTCTGCTGGCACTTGTTTGAAACTGGATACATGGTGTGGTCGCAGGATTCGTTCCTGACCGGCGGTGGTGCCCGTGCCCCGACGACAAGTTCGCTGATGGCAAGTTCGTTGAGGAGAAGGTCGCTGGGGACAGGTTCTCTGAGGGCAAGTTTGCCGAGGGCTACTCCTCTGCTCGCGGGCTTGGCCGTTTTTGATTTCTGAGCGCGCTGCGTGCTCGTCGCTTCAGTCTCTGGCCGCGGCAGTTGGGCTTGCTCGATCTTGGTGACGGCGCGCGGCTCTTCCGCTTGCGCTCCCGAACAAAAAGTGCCCCCGCCGGCAGGCTCCGACTTGTTTGCTGTAGCTTTCGACGGCGCGCGGCCCATCCGTTTGTGCTCGCGAACGAAAAAATCCCCACCGGCCATCCAGAAACATATCGCCTGGCGAGTTGCCTCCACCGGGGAAATCTAGAAGCATGCAGTGTAACGACCGCCCTGGAAGTGTTCTCCCGAGGTCTCTTGGGGCCATCTTGGGTCTCTCTTGGGGTCCTCGCGGAGCCATTTGTGGCACTCTTGGGGCCGTCTTGGGGTTCTTTTGGGGGGTCTACGGGTCCTCATGGGGCTTTTCGGGGGAGTCTGCGAGGCCTTGAGGCAGTTTTGGGCACGCTGTTCAAAAAGAGGGGGGAAATTCAGCCCCCCTCGGAGGCTCCAAAATGGCGTCTTGGGGCCCACTTGGGGTGGGGGTGCTCTCTGGGCGCTCTTGGGCGCTCTTGGGGCCCTCTTGGGGCCCTCTTGGGCCCCTCCCACGGCTCTCTTGGGCCGTATTGGGACCATCGTAAGGTCTCAAGAGCCCATCGGAAGCGAAAAGACGAGAAAGCAGAACGCATTGATGGTCCTTCGGTCGGTTTTGGAGCCATTTTGGATGGTTGGCCTGAGCGCAGCGAACATTATGACGGCGTCCCCGCCGTCCCTCTTACAAACCAATGCAAAGTGGTCGCGGGGCGCCCGCGCACTTTCCAGATGTGGAGGCAAAGTGCATTCTGTATGGTTTTCAATCAGGGATGGTTGGCTTGCTCGCAGCGAGCAATATGATGGCACTCCCGCCGTCCCTGTCAGAAAACAATGCGAAGTTTTCGCGGGGCGCCAAAGTGCATCCTGTATAGTTTCTTCACAGGGATGTTGTGTGTGTGTGTGTGTGGATCTGTCTCGAGTTGGTCCGCAGTCGGGTGGGGGAGGGGGTGTATGCATTAATGAGGAGAAATGATGACCCCCTCCCCCGAGCAGGGGAAGGATGGGGTTTGGAAGAGAGAGGAAACGAGTACGTTAAACCACCTACGCCCAGAGGGCTGGTGGGATTACCTCCCTCTCGACCAGACACCTGCCGAGAATCGCGCGCTCTTCCGCGTATGTTTTTTCACGCAGGATGGTTCCGAGCTGTTTCTCTGCATTTTTTGTTTTCTCCAATCCAAACGTCTTCGGTCATTCCAAAATGGCACTCTCGCTGCAACCTGGGCCTCATTTTTGGATCGGCGCCTTGTCCCGTCGCTCAGAATGGCGCTCTCGCCCCAGCGCGGGCCACTGTGTTGGATCCGAGTCTGTTTTCATCGTTGTCGCCCCCCTCCTTTCCCCTCCTCCGCCCTCCCCTGGTCCTCCTGCTCCTCCCGTTCTTTCCACTCCAGTTTGTGCTTCTGCTGTCTCCTTCTCCCACCGATCATCCTCTTACTCATCCGCCATCCCATCCTCGTTCTATGTTCGCAGCTCCCCCTTTCCGATTATGCATGCCACGGTGTTGCCTTTTTTGGAGTTCCAGGCCCGCTATGACACGCGTCCGCGGAAGGAGAGACGAGGGCGCAATGGCAAGGGATGGGTGGGAGGGGTAGGATGTCAGATATGGCGCGAGTGCACCTATCTTGCCCGTCCCCTCTCTCCGCCCTCCTTCTCCCTCCCCTCCCTTTCCCCCCCCTCCTCCCTCCTTCCCATTCTCCTCATCGCCTTCTTCCTCCTCCTCCTTTATCCCTCGTCCCTCCCCCCTCCTCCCCCTCCTCCGTCTCACCGCCCTGCGCACTTGCACCATCTGTCACTCTCTCCCCCGCAGATGTGTTGAGAGTAACGTGACCCCCTTCACGTATTGTATTTGTACACAGGATCGCGCCTCGCCCTGAGGCTGCGCTCTCCCTCCTTCCACCTCCTCATTGTTAATTCAAGCTTCGCGCGGCCCGCTTATCTTCGACCGGAAGAGGTGCGCTCTCGACCCGCGCATCAAAACATTGTACACAGGATCGATCCGAGCGGGGTTTTCTGATGTGTCAGCGATGGCCTCATTTTAGGCTCGCCGCTTTTGCCTCCGACGGTCAGAAGGGTGCTCTCGCCCCAGTGCGGGCCACATTCCTAAATCCGAGGGCTTCCTCGTCGTTGTCGCCCCCATCATTGCCCCTCCGCCTTCCCTTGGTTCTCCTGCTCCTCCCGCTCTTCCTGCTCATGCTGCTGGAATTCCTCCGCGTCCTCCTCCTTCCTCATCTTTCGTCTTCCTCCTGCTCATCCTCTTGCTCACCCACCACATCCTCCTTCAGTGTGCACAGCTCCACTTTCCAGACTGCGCGTGAAGCGATGCGGTCCTTTTGAGTGCTCCAGGCCAGCCATGACACCCGGCGGGGGATAGAGAACAAATCAGCGCGATCAGAAGGGATAGGAAGAGGAGTCTGATGTCAGATGTGGCGCGGGCGCACCCAGCTTGTCTTTTCCCCCTCGCCCCTCCCCTCCCCTCCCCTCCCCGCCCTCCTCCTTCCCCCCACCTCCCCCTCTCCCCTCCCCTTCCCTCCCCGCTGCCCCCCGTCCCTGCACGCCCTCGCCAGGGAGGCGGGGGCGAGGGAGGGATCGGACCACTGGCCGCAGCGAGGGGGTCTCCCCACAGGGGCGGCCGGTGGCGCTGGGTCCTCCGCCCCCCGCTGGCCGCTGCCGAGCTCGCGCGCGCGCGCGCCGGGACGTGACCGCGCCGGGCCGCCGCCGCCACCGCCGCCGCCGGAGGGGCGCTGTTCGCTTCCGCCTGCGCCGGCTCCGCCTCCTCCCTCCTTTTCCCTCATTCCTCCATCCCTGCCTCTTCCTCTCCCCTGCCTCCTCTCCCCTCCCATCATGTCCTCCCTCCCGCCTCCTCTCATCCTCCTCCCTGCCTCATCTCTTCTCTCCTCCCTCCCTCGTCCTCTGCTTCTGTTTCCCACGTCGGGCGATGTCGGTGACTTTCGCCTGACTGCGGGCCTCTCCCGCGAGGTGGCGCACAGGATCTCACGGGGATCCACCACTTACGCCACCCTAAGAGTAGCCACAGGACAGGCGGCTGGGAGTGGCGGCTGTCCTGGCGCGCCGCCTTCGTCTCCGCCTCCTCCTCCTGAAACCTATGAGCCTCCAGCTCGGGTTGCTGGAGGGTGAGCCGATAGAGAGCTGCACGCTGCTGAGCGTCCCAGCGCCCCCCCCAAGGTGCCACGACCCCCGCCGTCAAACCGTCCCCCTGACCACCAGGGAGAGAAAAGGAGGCTCCTGTGGAGGATGCATCGATAACATTATCGCCAGCCGATGCCTGGCGCTCTGATCAGGGCCGCTGCCCCCGTACTGGGGTGGCCATCTCGGGAATGCCTGCGAGCCGCTCTGTCTCGCTGGCGCTTCCTGTTCTTAGAATTCAGTCGGGCATGTCCCTCTACAGGCAGAATATTCCAAAATAGTAAGCAATATTCTGGGAACGATTTTCTGAGTATTTTTTGACAAGTTTTGAATCTTTTTCGAGTGTGTTGGATTTTTCGTCTAAAATGCCCCTCATGCCCGACCTAATCTTAGAAGGGGGCGAGTGGTGGCAGCCCGCGCCATTTTGGCTGCGCTGAGCCCGGTTCCGCGCTGAGCCAGGCGCCACTCGTTTCGCTGTTTTTTTACTTTGCTTCGGCGCGGCCAGCCCTAGCTCGCGCGGCGTTCGATTCGTTTTCGCGCGCCCGCGTGCCAGGAGTGCGTTTCGTCGGCGTTTCATTTATGAATCGCATGCAGTTGTTTGTTTTGGGTTCGGCCGCGCGACCGCCGCGCGAAATGGCTGTAGTTGCTGTGGTGGTCGAAGTAGTGTTCGTCGCCGTAACTGGTGCTAGTAGTAGCAGTAGTGGTAGTCGTAGTAGTAGTAGTAGTAGTAGTAGTAGTAGTAGTAGTAGTAGTAGTAGTAGTAGTAGTAGTAGTACTAGTAGTACTAGTAGTGGTAGTCGTAGTCGTAGTCATAGTAGTAGTAGTAGTAGTAGTAGTAGTAGTAGTAGTAGTAGTAGTACTAGTTGGTATTAGTAGTAGTAGTAGTCGTGGTAAGTAGTAATCGCAGATAGTACTAGTACTAGTACTAGTACTAGTATAGTACTAGTACTAGTACAGTACTAGTACTAGTACTGGTAGTATAGTAGTCGTAGTAGTAGTAGTAGTAGTAGTAGTCGTAGTAGCAGTAGTTGTAGTAGTAGGTAGTGTAGTAGTAGTATGGTAGTAGTAGTAGTCGTAGTAATCGTAGGAGTAGTAGTAAGAAGTATTACATTAGTAGTTCCGTGTTCTGAGTTTGTAGTGGTGGTAGTCGTAGTAGTAGTAGTATAGTAAGTAGTAGTAGTAGTAGTAGTAGTAAGTAAGTAGTAGTAGTAGTAATAGTCGTAGTAGTAAGTTTTGAGTAAGTAGTTAGTAGTAGTAATAGTAGGTAGTAGTAAGTATAGTAGTAGCAGTAGTGGTAGTAGTCGTAGTAATTAGGTTAGTAGTAGTAGTAATAGTGTATAGGATTATAGTAGTAGTATTAGTAGTAATATAGTAGGCCAGCAGCAGTAAGTAGTAGTAGTAGTAGTAAAGTATCAAGCATTAGTAGTAGTAGTAGAAATAATTGCAGTAGCAGTAAATCGAATTAGTAGTAGTACACTCGTCGTAGTAGTAGTAGTAGTAGTAGTAAGTAAAGTAGTAGTAGTAGTAGTAGTAGTAATCGTAGTAAGTATAGTAGCAATTACTAGTAGTAGCTACAGTAGTAGTATGTAGTAAAGTAGTAGTAGTAATCGTCGTGTAATAGTAGTAGTAGTAGTAGTCGTCGTAGTAGTAGTAGTAGTAGTAGTCGTAGTAGTAGTAGTAGTAGTAGTAGTAGTAGTCGTAGTAGTAGTAGTAGTAGTAGTAGTAGTAGTCCGAGTGGTAGTTGTCGTAGGAAGCGTAGTAGTAGTAGTAGTCGTAGTGGTAGTAGTAGTAGTAATCGTAGTAGTAGTCGTAGGCGTAGGCGTAGGCGTAGTAGTAGTAGTAGTAGTAGTAGTAGTAGTAGAAGTAGTAGTAGTAGTAGTAGTAGCAGTTGTACTCGTAGTATTAGTGGTAGATGTCGTCGCAGTGGTAGTAGTCGTGGTAGAAATATTAGTAGAAATGGTAGAAGTAGTTGTGGTAGTAGTAGTGGTAGTCGTAGTAGTAGTAGTAGTAGTAGTAGTAGTAGTCGTAGTAGTAGTAGTAGTAGTAGTAGTAGTAGTAGTAGTAGTAGTAGTAGTAGTAGTAGCGGTATTAGTAGTGGTAGTAGTAGTTGTAGCACCCGTAGAAGAAACTAGAACCACGCGCGCGCTTCGCGCGCGCTTAGGTTCTGTCGAGTCACAGACCCAGGAATCGTTGTGAGAAGAAATTGGTGACGCGAAGCGTCGTGGGGGCGTCCTTGGACGTCTGGGGTCTCCTGGGCCTCTTGAGGGGCCTCCTGGGGGCCTCCTGGCGGCCTCTTGGGGCGGAAGGCTCGAGCTTGCGGTTCGTGGTCCCCCTCTGGGCCCCCTCTTGGGCCCGTCTTGGGGCCCTCTTGGGCCATCTTGCGCGCCTCTTGGGCCGTCTTGGGGGCCCTCTTGGGCTGTCCTGGGGCCTGCCTTTGGGCCTCGTGGGTCTCCCTGGGCCGTCTTGAGGGCCCTCCTGGGGGCCTCCTGGCGGCCTCTTGGGGCGGAAGGCTCGAGCTTGCATGTCGCGTGGTCCCCCTCTGGCCACCTCTTGGGCCGTCTTCTTGGGGCCCTCTTGGGCCATCTTGGGCGCCTCTTGGGCCGTCTTGGGGCCCTCTTGGGCTGTCCTGGGGCCCTCTGGGAAGCTTCTTGGGCCGTCTTTGGGCGGTCTTGGGCGCCTCTTGGGCCGTCCTGTAACGTCGGAAAGCCCAAAAGACAACTTTGTTGAAAATGTACGTTTTACGAAGGGAATGGGCCAACTTTTGCGTCTAGGGGCCCTCTTGGGCCGCATGTTGGAGGCTTCTTGGGGCCTCTTGGGGGCTTCCTTGGACGTCTGGGGTCTCCTGGGGCCTCTTGAGGGGCCTCCTGGGGGCCTCCTGGCGGCCTCTTGGGGCGGAAGGCTCGAGCTTGCGGTTCGTGGTCCCCTCTGGGCCCCCTCTTGGGCCCGTCTTGGGGCCCTCTTGGGCCATCTTGGGCGCCTCTTTGGCCGTCTTGGGGCCCTCTTGGGCTGTCCTGGGGCCCTCTGGGAAACTTCTTGGGCGGTCTTGGGGCGGTCTTGGGCGCCTCTTGGGCCGTCCTGTAACGTCGGAAAGCCCAAAAAGGCGACTTTGTTAAAAATGTACGTTTTACGAAGGGAATGGGCCAATTCTTGCGTCTAGGGGCCCTCTTGGGACGCATGTTGGAGGCTTCTTGGAGCCTCTTGGGGGCGTCCTTGGACGTCTGGGGTCTCCTGGGGCCTCTTGAGGGGCCTCCTTGGGGCCTGCTGGCGGCCTCTTGGGGCGGAAGGCTCGAGCTTGCGGTTCGTGGTCCCCCTCTGGGCCCCCTCTTGGGCCCGTCTTGTGGCCCTCTTGGGCCATCTTGGGCGCCTCTTGGGCCGTCTTGGGGCCCTCTTGGGCTGTCCTGGGGCCCTCTTGGAAGCTTCTTGGGCCGTCTTGGGGCGGTCTTGGGCGCCTCTTGGGCCGTCCTGCAATGTCGGAAAGCCCAAAAGGCAACTTTGTGAAAAATGTACGTTTTACGAAGGGAATGGGCCAATTTTTGCGTCTAGGGGCCCTCTTGGGACGCATTTTGGAGGCTTCTTGGGGCCTCTTGGGGGCGTCCTTGGACGTCTGGAGGCCATCTTCAGCATCTCGGAGCCCTCTTGGAGGCCTCTTGGAAGTTTCTTGGGCCGTCTTGGGCGTTTCTGGGGCCGTCTTGTCTGACCGGGGAGGCCTCCGGCAAGCCCCGACGAGCCTCCGGGGCCCCCGGGGTGCACATTTGTGGTCGAGGTCCCGGCCCCGGGCCCCCGGACCCGGTGCGCCGTTATATGTATATAGTAAGACAATATCAATAATAGTAGTCGTCGTTGTCGTCGCCGTAGTAGTAGTCGTAGTTGTAGTTGTAGTAGAATTCGTAGTAGTACTAGTAGTAGTCGTAGTAGTACACATGTAGTATTCGTGGTCGTACTTGTAATGCTAGTTGTACTGGTAGTGGTCGCAGTAGTAATATTTGTAGTAGTAGTAGTAGTAGTAGTAGTAGTAGTAGTAGTAGTAGTAGTAGTAGTAGTAGTAGTAGTAGTAGTAAGTAGTAAGTAGTAAGTAGTAGGTAGTAAGTAGTAGTAGTGAGTAGTAGTAGTAAGTAGTAGTAGTAGTAGTAAGTAGTAGTAGTAAGTAGTAGTAGTAGTAGTAGCAGTAGTAGTAGTAGTAAGTAGTATAGTAAGTAGTGGTATTGTAAGTAGTATAGTAGTTTTTAGAGTTGTAAAGTAGTAGTAGTAAGTATTTGTAGTAGTTTTAGAGGCGTAGTCGTCCGTAGTAGTAGTAGTAGTATATAGTAAGTAGTAGTAGAAGTGTAGAAGTAGTAGTAGTAGTAGTAGTAGTCATTAGTCGTAGTATGTAGTAGTAGTATAGTAGTAGTAGTAGTAATAGTAGTATAGTAGTAAAGTAAGTAGTAGTAGTAGGAGGTAGTAGTAGTAGTAGTATTAGTAGTAGTAGTAGTAGTAGTCGTAGTATTCATAGTAGTAGTGG